TACGACTACGATTACGACGACTACTACTACTACTGTACTGCTACTACTACTACTACTACTACTACTACTACTACTACCAACTACTTACTACTTACTACTTGCTACTTGCTACTTGCCCCTGGCTACTGCGACTGCGTCTGCTGCTGCTGCCACTTGCTGCTACTTGCTGTTGCTACTGCTATGCTTACGACCACTACCACCACGACATCGACGACGATTACGACTAGTTGTGGTTGTAGTTGTACATATAGCTGCAATTGTATTCTACTCGTTCCGCAACACTGGTAGTAGTTGTAGCAATGGAAACGGTAGTAGGCGTAGTAGTCGTAGTAGACATAGTAGTAGTAGTAGTAGTAGTAGTAGTAGTAGTAGTGGTGGTGGTGGTGGTAGTAGTAGTAGTAGTAGCAGCAGCAGCAGCAGTAGTACCAGTAGTAGTAGCAGTAGTAGGAGGAGCAGTGGTAGTAGGGGTCGTCTTCGTAGTAGCAATGCTAGAGCTCCGAAAAGAACTGTTCTTGACGACGGCGAACTCGTCCATCTGCATTTCGTCCATCTGTGTTGCCCCATTGCAGCTCAGAACCCCATATTGCTTGCGGCGACTTGCATGCCAAGCTTCGATTTTGTCCAGGATCGCTTCCTGTCCGAGTCCAGTCATGCGCGTGGGGCGCGTACACTCTGCATAAGCGCGCAGCCGGTCCTTGGAGTAGAGGCTGAACTCCGCGGGCAGGTACTGCGCAAAGCCCAGTGCGCCACTGGAGCGAGGCTGTATAGAGACTTTCAGAAGGGGATCTGCGTGCTCCAGGAACCAGCCTGACAATTGCAGACAGACATGTCAACGTTCTGGCCTTTCTCATGCTCGCACGTGTTTCCGGACACCTGCCACGGCATGGCCCGACTCGTGGATGGCAACAGTTCGCTTGTCTTCAGCACTCCTTGGCAAATCTCTGCAACATTCTCCGGTAAGCTCAGACTACGAGGTGGCGATTGGCATTTCGCCTAACGCTCGAAAAGGCAAAGGCAAGCCTGCGCAACCATGAGCCCCTGTCCGTCTCGAAAACCCGTCGTGAGCATGATTCCGAATCAGCCACACCATTTTGGGTACCCGCCCCGGTAATTAATACTGTAAGTAGCAGTAGAAGTAGAGCAGTACCAGTCGTCCACGTGGTGGTGGTACTAGCAGCAAAAGCAGAAGAGCAGTAGTCGTCGTCGTGGTCGTCGTCGTCGTCGTCGTAGTAGTAGTAGTAGTAGCAATAGCAGTAGCAGTAGTAGTTGTAGTAGTAGTAGTAGTAGTAGTAGTGGTCTCACTTCTCAAAACGACCAAATTGTCTTATAGGGGCCCTGAACCCCAAACAGCAGCCTGCTTGCCTATAACAGAAGGTGCTGCAGCAAGGGGGACGAAGGATGTACAAAAGTATACAACCCCTGCGCTGCGGAAACGAAGAGGCCGCGGGGTCGCAGCTCTGGNNGCCCCAGGGACTGCACAACCCTGGCCTGACGTCGCTAACAACGCGACGGACCGAAGTAGTAGTAGTAGTAGTAGTAGTAGTAGTAGTAGTACTACTACTACTACTACTACTACTAGTGGTAGTAGTAATAGTATTAGTAGTAGTATTGTATTATTATTTGTAGTAGTAGTAGTAGTAGTAGTAGTAGTAGTAGCAGTAGTAGAAGTAAGAAGTAGTACTAGTAGTAGTACAGTACTGTTTTTTGTCACCTACCTGGCACGTCGTCGACAGCACTGCAGGGTCTTGACTTGCGTATGGAGCAGTCGCAAGCCACCGACACATCCTTACGACAACACACTGTCGCGTTTTAGCGGTATGTTTCAGCGACCGTCACGAGCAATAGTTTGTTGTCACCCACTTGGCACGTCAACGANNCAACGACAGCACTGCAGGGTCTTGACTACGAGCAATAGTAGTAGCAGTAGTGGCTGTAGTTGTAGCAGCAGTAGGCAGCAGCAGTAGCAGCAGGAGCAGTAGCAGTAGTGTTCAGCAACTAGCAGTCGTGCCATTGGTAGCCGCTCCCCTGCTTGCACCCTGCGGTGCATGCATGTGTGCTGCCTCGCTTGCTGTCTGACTCGACTGGATACTGGCTTCTTTGCTTGCTTGCCTGCTAGTCTGCCTACTTCTCTGCCTCTTTGGCTGACACCAGAGAGCAGAAAGAACAAATCAAATTCAGCGCAAATGGCGCGAACGACGGCAGTCGGCTGTGGCACACAAACTGTGAGCCTGCCTCCCGAACTGGTGATGCTGTGTCACGGCCTCCTGTGCCTATGTACACTGAGATCGCTTCATGGCATGGTACAGTAGGACATTCCTTCTTGATGACATCTTCCTCCAAGTTTGTGAAGATATGACTCATGAAGGAGCTTCAGGGGAGCTCGACTGCTGGGGGATGTGGCTTGTGTTTGCTTTTTTGCGCGATCCGTCACGTGAGCCGAGAAATCACAGCCGTGTGGAACCGATCGGAACTCCCAGCGTTCAATCACGGCTGATCATTCCCGAAATGTGTTCGGCCAAGATATGTAGGTCCAGAAACCAGGGGTCTAAGCAGGGACAAACCAACGGCCAGCAAGTTGGACACTGGCCACACTGCCCCTTCTGGTAAAGCCAGGCCCTTGCTTCAAGTTCCTGTTTCTCCCTCTTTCTTGTAACATATGGACCATTGGAAAATGAACTTCTTGCACATATCTCGGAATCCGCAGCACAAGGCTTCTGAACTACCGACTCTTGAACTTGCTCGAATTTGTGCAGTTACTTTTGCTCAGGGTCGTTCTAGTTCTGATTTTGTCAAATTGACTTGAGGTCGTGTGCTGAAGGGGCTTGTGGCCAAAACGACATCCGAGTCCAAGCGTCATAAGGCTGTTCGTCTTCGGCAGCCCGCCGATCACGCGCTCGGTCGCGCGCTCAAAGTCATCCATGGTGACCGACTCCGCTTTCCGACGTGCTGCGAAAATGGCCGCCTTCACGGGATCCAACGCCGAAGCTGCACAAACAAGCTGTTAATTTGGGAAGCTGCATCTGAAACTGTCCTCATTGCAAACGTTGGCAATGTCAGCCCCAGCAAATCCAGGTGTCAATGTGGCCATTCTTTTGGCGACATCTTCCATTTTCAGGCCTTCCCTTAGTTCACGATTCGATGATTTCTGAGGCAACCTCGTCCTGACAAGTCAAAACAAGTCTCAGACAAGCTTCTCCAGCCTAACAGGCTTCAGATGTACCATGTAAATTTTTTCGCGTTCAGCCATGTCTGGCCTCGCATGGCCGGAGAAATGCGACAAACAACCACGCTGTGTGCTCGTCAGCTGCTTCATGCAGACGGGAAACTTGTCAATCGCAATCTGTCGGTCGAAACCTGCACGTGTCTAGGAGACGAAGTGAACACAGTCATGCTGCTCGACTGCATTCCAGAACTATTTCATAACTAGCTCTGTGCACTCGAGCCACGTCCCGGTCTCAGCAAGGCATTGTCCAGAATGTCCACGCGGTTCGTGCCAGCAAGCACCACCACGCCTGTGGAGGATGTAAACCCATCCATCTCCACCAACATCTGATTCCTTTGCAGGTGCGGGGTTGGTTGAGCGTCAATCAGGCCAACAAGCAAGACACTAGGAAAAAGCCAAAGCTGACGAACAATCGAGGTTCAACGTGCTCTCACGTTCGTCATTTCCGCCGGTGAAGCCACCCTTTCCACGCTTGCGCCCTATCGCGTCAATCTCATCAATGAAAATGATCGAGGGTGCCTGAAATCTATAGTAGGCTTTGGCGATTGCTGCCCCGATCAGGGGAGTGCCGACAGCTAGTCAATCCGTGAGTCACCAAGTTTCTAGATTTTCACTCAGGTGCTGAATCTCGGGCTTGCTTGAAAAGATCTCTGACGCGGGAGGCACCCACGCCAACATACATCTCCACGAAGTCAGAGCCACTCCTCAGCAGTAGCAGAGCATGCCTTGTTGTAGAATCGATGACAGGGGGCTCAAAGTTCAAAGCCAGGATGCATCGAGTAGAAAGGGCAGTCAGCCTCTCCTGCAACAGCCTCTAGCTCACGACGAAGCCACACCACACACTGACGCAGGGATCAACCCATCTATGCCTTCGCTAGCAATGTCTTCCCAGTTCCAGGAGGTCCCACGAACAGTCCACCTTGCTCAGGCGAGCACGCAGACGCGTGTGACGTCCAAACTACAGTTTGAGATGCCTTTGGGCACGCGAGCTCCAAGTTTTTCATATTTCTTCGGACTCTTGAGGAAGTCCACGAACTCGACGACCTCCGCCTGCTCTTGTTGGCAACCAAGCTGCGCCCACGAACAAACTAATCCAGAGAGACGAAGCCAAACATGTACGCATACGAAAGAGACAGCAAAAGACGACAACAGTTAGCATAGAACAGAAACGGCGAGGCCTTCGCCTGATCCAGACCGGCTACATCCGTGAACCTGATCTTCGACTTTACATCCTTCTTTTGCGATGGAAACGCCTCCCAGCCAGAAAAGAATTGCAGCTCACAGTCGTAGCTCAACGCTGCACACAATCCGAAGGCCCTAAGGTGCCTTCCCCATGCTAAAGACATTTCGCCCACCCGGCCCACCAGCGCCGGGCAAGCCGCTTCCGAGACTCCTGGGTGCTTTGGAAACCAGGGTTGAGTCACCCCAAGCTAGTCGAGTGATTGGCACTACATGCGCACGTTCCCCGCGCCTGCTTACCCACAGAAGCGGAAGCAAGAACAGAAGAGAAGGAACATACGGCAAAATCTCGCCAATATAGTTTGTCCTCGGACGACGGCAATGACTCTGCGCGTCTGCGCGACAGCCGTGGCGAAATGAAGCAAGGCCTGAAAATGTGCTAGCAAAGAATCTCATAGACGTACTGGATTGGAATGTGCTCCAGCTGTGGAACACCAAGCTCATTTTGCACATTCCTTGGCTCCAGTGACTATCAGACAAAACGGCTTAGAAGAAACCGCCAAACGCGAAAGCCAGGAGTCTCCAGCTTCGTCTCGAAGGCTTCGGGCCGGCCCAAGTTGATCGTCACAACCTCCGGCCCAGCAGTGTCCTTGCGTAGATATACTCGCGCGAGACCCTGGTTCACAATCCTTGGTGCACGCATTCGGAGCCGCGAGATCGGACCAAGCCAACTTGAGCCCAGAGGCTGGATCTTCTCTACCTTACCTTTCATGAGGTACTCGCGCAGCATTTCCTGCATCGTGACCTGCCAAGAAGCCAGGTGACAGCAGCTGTGGGCAATAGTAATATGACCGAAATCCGTTGACACAAACCGCAACACCCTCTTACAACGAAACGTAGGAACCGGCTCCCTTCGACCATCGGCACACCATCACGACTGAAGCCTCGCCGGCTGCACCTGCAACCTTCAGCACCGCTGCCAAGACGATCGACACAGTCACCGCCGGAACCCCTAGTACGCACTACCGCTCCCACCACTGTCGCCACTCGCCAACTTTCAAAACCGTCAAGACAATCAAGGCGACTGCTGCCAACTACAAGAGCAGCGACGACAGCAGCAGCAGCAGCAGCACCACCACCACCACCACCGCCATCCCGCCCCACCTCCACAACCATCAATGTTGTATCACCACGAAGCTCGCTAAACATTTTAAGTGGCGGGCAGAGCCTTCACGGCCCCGTGGCACAAAAGTCTCAAGGCTTCAAAACACCTGCATGCATCCGGGGTTGGTTGGTGTCGTCCAAGTGAAACGGCAGGTGGAAGGTCGTCAGTGAGTCAGAAAACACGGCACCTGCAGACTCCTGACTGCTACCGCACCCCCTCCACACCATGCCAAGAGAAACTATCCTACAAATGACTTTTCCCAAATGGGCCAAGGACGCGCAGCTGACAGAAGGCTCAAGCCAGACACCTGCCATTTCGGCCCTATGCCCTTCTTGACTTGTGAATCGAACCCTAAGTCCTTAGTGTGCATGGGAGGTTCCTTGTTGCGAACCCTTTTCGAGCAGGACCGGAACAGTGAGAATGCTATGACCTACTCTGGATGCCACAGAGCACGCTCAGTCTGCAATCTGCCAGACTTGCGTGCCAGCATACGCGGTCTCTTCGTTGCTAAACTCCGACTTTGTATCAAGTTCCAAGTGCACCTTTAAATCCTCAGTCATGGCCCGAAACTCATGACCAGACCCAGGGTGTCCGCTCAACTTCCTGCAGATGGCGACCGCCAGCTGTAAAGTGGAGGCCGGGAACTGACCTGGAAGCTGGATTAATCGCATCATGAGTGCCGGAATCATGTCTTTCAGGAATATCTCCTTCATCAATTCACGCCGCCTCGAGCTATCGAAGCTAGGCCTCGTCATCCAGCCATTCAGATCCTCGTCAGAAAGCGTCTCTAGCTGGCCATGAAGGACTTCAATGGCAGCTGCGGTGCACTGGCCTAACCGATCAAGCTTCCCGCCGCCTTCGTCATACCCGGTGAAAATTTTGGACCAGTCTGGCGCCGGTCCGCGTACCCGGGACCAAACCCGACTCGTGTCCCACGGCACAAACGTCGGTCGGGCAATCCGTTTTCCAAAGGCACGGATGCTCAAGATCTCGTAGTAAACACCCAGAAAGCATTCCTCCAGTCCCAGCTTCAGGCCGCCTGCTGCAGCCGCTGCTGCATGCTGGTGGCGTACATAGACAAAGTCTACCCGTGCTGCAGGAATCAGTTCTGTGCTGGCCTGACAGATATCTACCAAAGCTGACTGAAACTCATCCGGATCGGCAAAGTTTGTGCAGGGGTATTGTCGCTTTGCATCCCAGGGCGACCAGAGAGAACGCCTGAATGCGAGTGTGCCCGGATGACCTCCATCGCCACCTCGGCCTTCCGGAGACCCAATCCAGAACTCGTCGTCTTCCAGAAAATACCACATACCAAAGGTCAGGGCCGTGCACGCTACACGACCTCGACATATCGGCTCAACTTGCTCTCGCAAGCGTGTGGGGCCGTAGTAGTCGTCGTCGTCCCACTGCAGAATCACGGATCCTCGCGCCCGCTCTACTGCGAAATTCCTCTTCTCGCCAATTGTCACTGGCTCCTGCAGGTGAAAGTATCGAATCCTTGAGTACAGCATCCGGTCGTGCCATCTTCCACGAATAAATGACTCCAAGGGCTGCCGCGAGGAGTCTACGAGCAGCACTTCTATCTTCTCTTTTGGGTAGTCCTGCCTGTCGATAAGGCCCAGAGCATGGTGCAGAAGTTCCGGCCGGTCTCGAGACACAAGGCTGATCGACACTTCCAGCATGGAGCCATGGCCATGCCCTGCCAACCCTTCGTCCCAAGCAGGCTTCTCCACTACCGCAAGCTGAAGCTCCAGTTCCGAAGACAAATGCTACTTAGAGCCTTAGAGCTACCTGCTCGCTGGCGGAGTGTGAATGCCGACGCTGCACTAGAGGAACCCAGCCTCTCTCCCTCCGCGACAAGATGCGGCTCGTGTCCCATCGACAGTCGGCAGTCGCATGTCAGTGTGTACCCAACGCAAAGCAACCTGCCTGACTGACCGAGTAGCAGTTACAGCTGAGGCTACATCAGTTCCACCTGCCTATTTCGGATTGTCAGGTGGCATAGTTTGCACTATCATTTTTCACCATGCACGAATCAACGACCGACGAACGCGATACTTGTTGCCAGCAGCTGTCCACATGTCCCTGTGCCTCCTGCCCGGCATTGTCACTGTCGCCGGCCAGGAAGAACGACGAGCCAAACGCCAAAGCACCTGTACTGTCTCCACTCGAAACAGAACTGGAATCTGCAAGTTGATGTTTCGGATGCCTCCAGCTGCCAGCACCATAAGTCTCATCCTGCCGCTGAGTGTTGAAATGGTCTACAGGCCTTGACATCTATAAAATTAGGGTAAATTGCAAAGTGTGGTGACCTCCAGTACCAGTTGTGTCACTAGGCTTTCGTGTGAATTCTGCCAGTCGGTGATCTGTCAACAGAATCCTCTTTGGACAGACGAGGACTAGCTGCATGTTGGGCGATCTCTCTCACCCTCTCAAATATCTCCGCTGCCTCCGGGCTTCTGGTGTCTCCTGCGGCATCCGGTGAGCATGCAACATTCCAAGGGCCCTCAGCAGTCATCGTGCATTGAGGCCGCCTGCCAGCAAGCCGTGACAAAGCTCTGTCCTTGCCCTTCTCGGGGCCCTCCTTTCCTTCTTTTCCTTCGGCCTTTCCTTCAGTCGCTCCAAGCCCGTGCTGACGGGCTACAGTGGATGAGCGGTATTCTCAGTGTTTTGGAGGCGTCCCCCGTCCTTCCGCCTGAGCCTTGTGCTTCCCGCTTTCTTCTGCCTGCACATCTTCAGGCACCACGAACGGCGAACAAGGACTAAAAAGAGCAGCACAACCAGAGAACAGGCTTCTGAACCGGCGCTGAAACGCTCGAAGTAAGGTGCAGTGCCAAGTTGCTGGAGTTTCTTTTGGACCGCTTTGCCTCGAAAGCCAATGGCACGTACACAGGAGTTGTTGAGAGCTGAACTCTGCAGCGTCGCCTCTCTTTGCTGACTTCTTCGGCTTTGGGATTTTCCTTTGCTGCTCACACTGCGGCACCCATTTCCGCTTGGGCCGTGGGGGGGATCTAAGAAGCCAGCCCTGCAACGTTACGACACTCACACTCAAGCTTGCAATTTCGCCCACACTCAACCTCAAACTTGTTCTCGCATTGACCTGCACACTTCCAGATCCCAACGAAGTCGGCATTGATGCAAATCTCTCATTGCAACCCGCTAGGCCCCGCGAGCCAGTCATTTGGTCCCTCTCTGGGACTCTCTGGCTCTATAGGTCTCACTGCACACAGACAGACACACACACACACACAAACACACACACACACGCGCGCGCGCGAATACGGTATTTCGGACAATTCCGCCGGTCCAAAGAACCAGCTCTCATAAGCCCAGACATGCAGTGGAGGCGAGTCTCTGGTGTCTCCTTTGGCCCGCTCCTTGGATGCACAGATGCTTGAGGCAAAGGTGCACGAAATTCGTGGTCATAGCCGGCCACGACAGAGTCACTCAAACAGCTGCGGACCCTGAACAAATATCAAAAAGATAGAGAAAGAGAGAGAGAGAGAGAGAGGATGAGAGAAACAACAAAAAGAGAGCACCTCTCTTGGTGAGAAGCCCTTATCTGCATGACGCCCGACCGGTGGCTGGTGGCCGCGGGTCAATACCATTGAAGTGCGGAAAAGTATCTTGCTTGCTTCGGTCTGCTTGGGCGGCTCCTTGGAAACTTCCGGCTCACACAATGACCAATCGACTTTGAATCTACACACCGCAAAGCTGCAGGCCAGGTCGCTGCCTTGCCTCCTGAAGTCTCACCTCTGCCAGCCTGCGCATGTGATCGCGCGCCGATGAGACTTGCGCATCTGCCCCCAAGCAGGATTGTGCATTGAAATGTTCAGACATGACATCAATGCCCGTTTACAGCTGCCTCTTTGGCTCTGCCTTTGAAGAAGCCCTCGAAACCTTTTGGAGGCTTGCCCTCACCTCAATGGAGGGGGCACTGTGGTGAGATCACGGAGACTTTCGACAGAAAATTCAAGCCAAGCCTCCACTACAGAAACGTAGGCCTGACCGGCTCCTCAGTCGCAGAGCACCCGGATGACAGGCTCCGAGAGAAACACCCCGACTCCGAAGCTCATGCTGGAGGGAGCTCATGCGAAATTTCCCGGCAGAGTTTTCTGAATCTGACCACCAAGATGCTTTAAGTGCGGGGAGCGTCGTAATGCTGAGGCCACCTGGAAGGGAGCCAAGGATACGCATCTACGAGCAGCACTCTGGTACGGATTGGGCCCTAACTTGAAGGAACTGGCTTCTTTCAGGGCATCGTTTGTGTTGCAGGCTTGCCACTTGCCGGCGCCCAGCGCCGACGCGTCGCATTGTGGAGAGCATGTCCTGTCCGGTGGAAGACCGCACAAACCCTCATGGCGACATTCTGTCTTCCTCCCGCCTTCCCCAGCAAGGCTGCGGGCTTTTCTTGGATTAAAAGAACCCTCCAAGAGCAACAAATGTCTGCGAGAATCATTCAAGAACTTCGGCTGGCGGACTGAAGCCTCGGGCACTCAAAAGCTGGACACTCTGTGGCTGGCACCGGTGCAAGCTTCTGTGACAGCCCAGGGATGTGGGCCTGAAAGCGCCACCACATCACTGTCATCCCTTCGATGATGCCGCCATGCACTTCACGTGATGCGGGCCTGCATGAGAGGTACAGGGCATCGAATCGAGTCGCGGCTTTGGCTCTCGATCACAGTGACCGTTTGCCTCGGAGAGCGACAGTTCTGTGGGCTCCTTTGCCTCTTGAGGCCGGGGGCTACTGCTGCCTTAGAGCGTGTCATGCTCTTTTACCCCGCCTTAACCCAAGCTTCGGCAAACGATGCATTGCTGCGCGAAAAACACATCCGGCTGAGCTGCGGGCAGCTGAGTTCCTGCAAGCATTGAATCTACAGGGACTCGCCTAGGAATCAATGTGCGACATGGAAGTGTCCTTCGTCTCGGTTCCTGGTGGCGTTGAAGGAAACACCTTTGGCGCATCTTGCTCTCTGAATTATCTCGGCTGTTCCCGTGCCACATGACCGAGGGTCATCTCCTCAAAAGGCAGAGGTTCTCGCATGTAATTGGGTCGAGCTGAGCAGTTCCAGTGAAACTCTGCCTCGCCACACGCGCAACTCTCAGGGTGACACGATCTCTGAAGAAGTGTTGAGGCTCGGGCCCATCCGGGGAAAGATTGGCTCGAAACTTCCCGTTCCCCTCCTGACGTTCTGCAGCATGGTGTTCTGGGCTTTGGGCAAGGGACCACAAGCGCCGCCATCGGCAACCGCGTCGTTTTGGCTGCCACAGCGCGATGTTGGAACGCGAGGTGAGTCGCCCATCCGGCCCTTCATGACAATTCCGCACGTCTGACTCTGCTTCCGAAAAGCAGCAACAGATCTGACTGACTGCTGCTCTTAAATCTTCCTGCGATGGTGCCCAGCCATGCCTCGCTTTAGCGACGAGGCAGGGAACCAAAGCGAGGGATTCGGGCCTTCCCAAGTCCTTTACAACTTTCCGCCCTTACGAGCCTTCCCAGCTGTCTCCTGATAAGGTAGTGCTACAGTGTGGTCTCTACAGTCGTCATTAAACTCAGCCGACACGATGGAGAAACAACATCATGAACGTTTGCACACCTGCTTCTGTGGGCTTCTGTGGCAGACTCGCGTAGGCAGAAAGGGTACCCTAGCTACGCTTAAAAATGATAAGTAACACACAGACTCCGTTGGAGGTGGTGATTAAAATGAAGCGGGTGGCGGCGCGCTTCCGACTAAAACAGCCGAACCTGTCTCTCAGAGATTCGCCGAGGACAAGCTAGACTCGGGTAGACCTTTTGAGATCCTGCGCTGATCCAAAAGGCATATCGGACATATCAGGAGTCACACCGGGAGCGAGCACAAAGCACAGAAAGCCCACCATGGCCAAGTGAATCCGAGTGACTGAGGCCGGCCCCTGGCCCCATTACATCCGCTCCCTCACGGGACATTGCACATGACTAGTGCCTCAACAATATGGTGAGATCTCCGCCGGCGAGCATGGGAACTTAGGCCGCGACTGCCACATACGGGAATCCAGCTTGGACAGTCCACGGGATAGTGGCGATGCCGTCATGTACGGCTGCCCTATGCTGACATGGGACCGAGATGCGGCGAGGTGAGAAGCGCATCCATCAGGATCTTGCGCCTGGCTGTTATGGCTGCTTTCAGGCTCCAATGCGGACAGTCGCGGGCCTGGAATGTCAGAGAGCTTGCAACAGAAGCACTTCGCACCTGGCATGGCGCAAGCATGCATGAGGGCATGCAGTGGAATCCAGGCACGAGTTCTGATCGAAATCAGGGCGGACCGTAGTAAGAAAACAACTTCGGGCCTCGATCTCGGCCACGCGGGGCGCTCGTCGTCGATCATCCTCGATGAAGCGGAACCGGCGGCATATTTCATCCACCTTGAAACCGGCGGATGGCTTTGGCAAGGGCTGTCAGCGGGCTTCGGCAATGCCAGGCCTGGGCCCGCAGCACCTGCCGGAAGCAAAGAACACAGGTGAACACAGGTTCTGCCTTGGGCTTGGGAGTGGCAGCAAGCTGGCCTTGATTGAGGTCAGAGGCGAGAACGGCAAAGCCAAGATATTCACCAGTCGTTTGACCTGGGGGCACACTCCTAAAACACGCGCCATGCCTTTCTGTACACGTTCGTTCTCGCGCAAGCCCGGAACTGGACAAATTGAAATGCTCAGGAGGAAACCGAACGGACAAGATGCTCTCCACGTTTGCTGATCTCCTCCAGCCACAGCAATCGTTCGCAGGCGCGGCAGGGCTTCCGCTCTGCAGCGAATGTTGTGCAAAACTCGCCTGGTAATAGTCCGCCGACGGAAATTCAAACTGAGCATCTGCCAGCGCACTCACAATCTCCAGCCGATCGTCTGAGTATGCCTTGTCCACGGCCTGACGGGCATGCTGTACAGTGTCGGATCACAGCGTCCACGACGATTGGCTCGTAAGACCGCGGGCCATGCTCAGACTTCTGCTATGCAGAGCTTACAATGAAGCCAAACTGCAAAGAGACCACTCTGGCCATCCACACTTTGACTTCAATGTGTGCTCAAGCACACGCATGACAAGACATGATTGTCCAAGTTGGCCCAAGCACATGACAGGAAGAGGCTGGTTCAGCGTGAGACAACGAACAGTCTCGAGCATCTGCTCGGACTTTTTGAATCTGCAAGCGCAGAACTCCTGCTGCAGCCCAACCCATCCCCATTCCGTTCGCGGACTGCAGTGTTCGCCGTGCCTCCAATATTGCAAGAAACTTGTCGTCACGAAGAATTCCAGCCATGAGCACCACCAAGATGCAATGAGCAGTCCTGTGGGACTCAGGCTTGCTACGAGGAAGGGACTTGTCGAAAACAAGCCGCATCGAGCTGCGATCGATGCCCTCTGCATCGTTCGGCTGAGATTCCGTGCTGCTTTGACAGCATCTGCTTTGTTGTAGACAACCAAGACATTCTTGCGAGTTCGCTCCATGACCAGATCCCTCATCACCTGACAACGCAATCCAGGCAGGTATGCTAATTCACTCGGCTCCATTCTGCCCAAATGCAGTTTTGAGGCTCGGCTCGGCTTCAGAAATGTTCGTGTTGCTTCGAATTTGGGTGTGCGCATGATCACGTGTTTTGGTGACCCCATGTGAATTCTACAGTATCCCAAATGCAATTTTGAGGCTCGACGGACTCTTCTTAGAGACTCTTCGCAGATGCCCGCATGCCTGGCACGCAACTCGACCTTCAGAGCTGCCCATGCAGCCAACAACCAATATCTCGGCATCCGGATCCTCTGCCTGGCTTCGCAGGGAATGGCCGGCCAGGGCTCTCGATTCCGAATTCCTTTCACTTGCAAGGCTCCGAAGCTGCAAGCATGCTCAGAGCCTATCCTTCCCCGAAACATGAAGAGGCGAAACACCAGCTCAACAGTGGCCCTTCGGGCCACTCGTGCTTTGGTATGTACACAAGAGCCTCCGTGGACAGCGTCTTCTCGACGAAACTGCGCTGTATCTTCACTGACCTGAGTACTGCGAACTGTTACACGACAATTTGCTGCCTGCATCTTTCCATCCTCGCAGGAAACCGTGTATAGACCGGTCCAACATGTTGGCAAATTGCAGACAGGCATCTCAAGCAAACTCGACACCAGAGCCGTTTGTGTTCCTTGTCTGGGTAAAGCTTAGGCCTCTTCGCTCTCTTCTTTTTCATATGGGAATCGGGGACTGGTGAGGTCCGCCGGCCACCAGGGCCCCCCATACAAGCTGGGGCTTTGGGCATGACGTGAGAATGGTGTGAGTTATCCGATTGTAGATGTCGATATCTAGACGTAAACCCTCCCTCGCTTTGCTTTGCTAGGGACAGTTCGTCTCTGCTATACGAAGGATCGTCGGGTCTTCCGACAAGGATGGGACTGTGTGCCTCCGTCTCTCTCTGGGTCCCTCTGCCGCATCCGGATGGTCCCACTGTGCGAGGCAGTATTGCACCCAGGTCAGCAGAACTTCCCTGCGGCTTGGGATCGGTGCGGTGCGAACGCATCATATTCAACAAGCGGCACCTTTTCCAAAGCTCTGTAGCTCTCCTGAACACAGCAAGAGCAGCTTCACTTAAGCTCGTTCTGTCACCCCGTCTTGTCCCATCTTGACAGCACAGTTTAGGGTGCACGGCCCTGTGGAAGTGAAGATCCCACTCATCCTCAATCTGGGATACTCAAGGGGACTTAATATGTGCTTGAGTGACACCAAATTTTTGTTGGGGCCGAGGAATTACAGCAATGTATGCAAGACTGTCTGCCCCAATGGTTGGATGTCATTGTCCATTGCTCCCCCCATCCCCGAAGTGTACATCTAGTTGTGGAGGCAGCACATCCTCCACAAGGTCTGGATCCAGAGCGCTCTGGGCAAAGATCATGATGTCCGAGGGTGACCATCCTGATCGGTCGTGTACTCACTACTCCTTGAGCACACGCGACTCCCGTTGTTGCTCCCCTCGTGCCTGCCCGCAAGCTCGCAAAGCCATCGACATCATAAAAGCCAAAGTCTGAGCATTTTACCTGAAGCTGCAGCCGGCTTCTGACCTAGTTCTTTTGCGTGATTTCAGCGGCTTCCAACGATCCGAAGAGATCGAACAGCAGCCTTGAAAAACAACTGCCGAAGCGCAAGAACCACTCCGACGTTGTTCCTCATAGCTGTCGTGACCTGATTTGCATTCTGAAAGCCCAACAAGTGGCAGGGGAGCGGTGAAAGTTGGTGCCACGTGGCTTCGACTGCGCACCAAGGTCTCGTCAGAGTCATCTTCGTGGCCACAACAATAAGTGCCCTAGTCTGGTGCTTGACAATGTCCCCGATGTCCTGCCGCAGACTCGGGCCGATCATTGATCTGCAGATCGACTTGATTTCCATATTTTGCCGAGCTTCTGCTAGCCCCTCAAGTTCATCCTGAGATGCGGCCGGATAACTGGGAAGGGGAAATTGATCGAATAGAAATTTCAACAATGTGCAGCCATGCCGCAGAATCGAGGAATATCTTTGCTTTGTGAGCCCTCAGCCACGACAACTAGCACAAAGGCTTTTCAGGTATCTCGGCTCATCCGGTGTCTCATCCTTAACTTTAATGTGGCAAGCATCTGGCGGTGGATCTCAGACTTGATCCACCGGCAGAGAACTCCAGCTCCCGCTTTGTGGTGACAGAGGAAGGCATCGTATGTTCTGCCTCTGAAAAAAAGAAGACGGCCATGTTGGAAGCTGAGGCTAGGCTCTCAAGCGCCAAGGAAGCCAGGGCGCCGGGGCACAGTCGGCGATAGAGGGAGAAGCCCGCCAGGAGGCACAAGCCAAATCCAATCAGCACAAGTAGAGCAACCAGAAAGAGAGTCAGCAGACCCCTGCAGCAGGGTTGGCTCTACGTCCCATGGTACATCAGAATCCAAACATCTCTAAGACTGCAACGTGGTGCCGCATGCCTCGTTTCGGGGGTCGGTGTCTCAACCAGGAATGCCGAGACGGTCAGAAACACGAGCAGGCCCATGTTGAGGAAGATGTCGCCCAAGCACGCGACATTCGTGGCCCAGGGCAGTACGTTACTTGTCATGGACAAGTACACGGTCTCAGCGACACGAAGACACGTCACGATGAAGCGGAGGATGCGAAGACAGAGAGAAACATACAGGAAGAATCTAGAACTTTCTACAGGCCAT